ATATAGGTTAAATTGAGTAACCATTTATCAGAAAATTAGAATCCACTGAAACACAAACTGTTTACATTATATTGAGAATAATTTTATGTGATTTAAAGGCATTTATGACTTTTTGTGTGCTTTATACCTATTGTATACAAATCTCATTGTACTGCATTGGAGGGAAGAGGATTCCATAACCTGATTAATTGAACTTCAGTTATTTTGATTTCATCAGTTTATTTTACTTGGGGGCACTGCCTTTCTCTAAAGCCAGTTTTCTAGAATAACTGTACCTGTCAGAAAGAGGGGTGTTTTGTGGGGAAGAAGAGGAACTAAATGCAGTATGTGGGTGATGATCTGAGGTTGGATGCTTGTCGTGGACTGCCTGTACCATGCCCTGTGCAGTGAAGCACCTAGAGTCACATATTATCAGTGTGCATACCTGAGGTGTCTTCACTTCCAGATAGCAGACATAACCATGTTGATGGGGGTTAAATAACCAAGGGAGCAGGTCATGCTGGAACCCAGTCCCATTCTCTCAGAATCCCCGTTGCATCATCTCCTTTTAGATAAGATGCAAGTTAAGAGTACAATGAGGTCCACTGAACTGTGTCTGCACCCCCTTCCACCTGCCCCCCTCCCCGCAACATGCGCATATAATGGTGACATCATGTTCATGGTTTAACTGCCACAATCATACTTTAATGGTGTAGTCAATATTTCCTGGAAAAACAAATTTGACACAGGTTGATTGTGGCATTAATATGAGTAATAATGAAGGTTTCAGTCTTTTGAAATGAGATTGCCAAAATCAGCATGGAGTCTTTTTATGTCCAGCCTAGCCAAAGCAACAACAGTGTAATAGTAATACTACTTTACATTTCCAAACCACTTGCCTGACATTATCTGGTTTAATCTTAACAACCTTGTGATATAGCTATTATTTACAACTTTTAGAAGAATCTGACGCTAATGAATTTTTTAAGACGACATAGCAAATAAGTGACAGAGCTGGAACTTGAGCCCAGAGCTGGAACTTTAGCCCAGGCATGCTAGAATTTAAATCCGCTTTTTCCACTCTATCAGAGTTGCCTGAAGAGGAATGCAGAGCATAGGAGAGGTATTCCACTTTAATGAACTATGAAGTGTAGCAGACATTGTTCTATGTTTACTAAAAGAAATCACAAAAATGACCAAAATGTTGGAAAATAAAACCTGAAGCAAAAAGATAGAGAAACAAATTATTCATCTGGAGGAGCAAAGGCTGAAGAGCAGTTTAATTATAGTCTTTTGGTCTATTAAAGAATCTTACGTAGGGAAAAGAGTGAGCCCAGCTGTTTCTAATCTACACTGAGGCCAAGCCTGGGGAGAAAAAGAGAGAAAAAAAAAAATTAAACTGTAACAGAAGGGATAAGAAAGAATTTTTTGATAATAAGTTCTGTTAAATATTGGGATGGTTAGAGAGTGTTAAGTCTCCTTTTCTGGCAGTCATTAAAAATTCCTGTTTTTCCTAAATGTTCTTACATAGGATTCCTCCAGAAATGGAGGATTTGAAATAGATGATTCTTCTGAGAAACCACTCCCTTTGAGAAGTTTCTCATTAAATATCAGCAAGGAACCTGAGGAAGAGATAGCTTCCTTCACCATGCAGTTCATCTAGATGCTCTCACAAAATATTCAGCTAGTACAGTGATTGGCTAGCAAACTGCTCATTCCACTGCAGGTAAGTTCAACATTTACTGAGCAGCTACTAGGAGCCCATCTTTGTGGTAAATTCTAAAGCTATAAGATTAATAAGATATTCATCTGCCATATTCTGGAACTGTTATGACTCTAGTTTTTAAAGATACATAAATTGGAACAAGTGGCCCTCTAAGGCAAGCTAAATATTTAGTTTGGTACTCAACTAAAAAATAGCAATCCGTCTAGTCCAGTACTGGGAATGGAAATGGGGGTGAGAGGGGACTGGTGGTATTGGACTTACACTGGTATCCAGTATGGTCAGAGCTTTTCAAGAGCTATTTGTCAAGAGAGTTTCCCTTATCTTGTTGACAAGGGAATATGAAATCTGGGGAAGGCAGAGAGTTATAGATACTGGTACAGTAGAAGAGTTATGTACACCATATTCCCCCACACACTGAAGGATTGTAGACTTTTGCTTGAGGAAAACTGAGCTGGATATCAAAGTCACTTTGTAAGTGGCAGGGGTTTTGAGAAATAAATATAAGATAAGGCATTTTCCCTTAACTAGCTTACGTTCAAATTGAGGAAAGAAGATGTATTTATATGATTGAAATCACAGCACAAATGGTTGAAATCACAGAACGAGTGGCTGTCATAGTTAAAAATGATAATAATTAATGGAAACTGGGGATTATAAAGTTTTCAAGGAGAGTGTTGAAATAGAGTTGGATGTGAAGGGCAGATTCTTTAGGGTGGTGGGAATAGCTAATAAGGAAGGTAAGTGTTTTAGGTACACCAGAAAAAGCACATGGGCAGGACTGAAAGATGGTCTGGAATTAAAGACTCCATTGGGGCTTAGGGAGTTAAATAATTGCAGAGCTAGAGACAGGATTGGGTTGTTTTAGGTCTGAGGAATTGTGCTTTATACCAGGGGAAATAATGAGCTCAGAAAGAGGTGATTTGTTAAGTGTAGGCAAATAATTTTGTGGATTTGGGTTAGCTCATGAGGTTTTTAAAATAATGTTTTAGTTTCTTTTTTTTTTAGAGCTCAGAAAGAGGTGATTTGTTAAGTGTAGGCAAATAATTTTGTGGATTTGGGTTAGCTCGTGAGGTTTTTAAAATAATGTTTTAGTTTCTTTTTTTGTTTCATTACATTAAGTGCTGTAAGTTAGAGAAAACTTGTTAACTGCAGAAAAAGTTAAAAAATTATATAAATCTTATTTGTTGATTTGTATGTGTGTGAATTTGGAATTCTTTTTCTATTGAGATAGTTTTGAAATTTTATGTATTGCTTTTGAGAACATGTGATACCATAATAATACCTCTGTTAGTGCCCTAGTTGTCCATTTACTTGACTGTCTCCCATTCTAGACTTTGGTTGGGGTCCTTAAATGACAGCCATGACATATCTTTATCTTTGCATCCTAAGTACCTAGCGTGGCTAGTATGTACTTATGTTTATAGTTTGTAGAATCAAAGAATGATCTCTAATCTCACAAGAACTACTTTAGAAAAGGAACGAAACCCTGAGTCAGTGAAAGATTTGTAACAGTCTCTGTAGATAAAGGGATGAGAGCTAATCAGAAATGAGTTGAAGGGCTGGCATGCAGCATTGAGCTATATGGGTGATATGCAAAAACAAACAAACGAAAAAAAGATGGATTTTGCTTTGAAACGGACTAGTCCAGTAGTTCTTAATATCACTTGGGAACATGATAGAAATGTAAATATATACATATATACATATATATATATGTATATATGTATATATGAAAAGACATCTTAATATCACTTGGGAACATGATAGAAATGTAAATATATACATATATACATATATATATATATATATGTATATATGTATATATTTAAAGACATTTAATCTATATATGATAGAAAACTATGAGACTAAGATTATATTGTTACAAAGAAAGTTGAATGTGTTGTAAATAGACAAGATCTACCTATCTTGTTTAGATCACTGCCTTCCTGATCTTAGCATGTAAGTAGATCAAAGATTTAAAATAGATTAGTTTTACCAGAGGAGCCTCAGACTTACAGAATCTCCACCCAGATTTACTCTTCCTTACTCACATATCTGCCTACTGAACTTTTCCACTTGGATGTCTCATAAGAGCCTCAGATCTCTAAAATTGCATATATTTACTATCTTCCCCTTCAAATCTGTATCACCTTATGTTTTACCAATTTCAGAGAACTGGATCACCATCCACTCAATTACTTAAGTCAATTATTCTTGGCTTATTTCTCACCAAATATGGACAATTCTACCACCTTATAGCTTTCAAAGATACCTTTTTCTCTCTGTCCCCATTGATACATTTCTAATTTAAACCCTCATTAGTTTCTCAGTAGATCATTTTAACAACCTCTTAACTGGTGTCTTTGACGCCAGTCTTTCTCTCAGCCTCTAATTCATTCTCCAGGTGCCAGAACACTTAAAAATTTAGACTTAAAATACAAATCTGATAAGTTGTTTCCTTACATCTGTTCAATGGCCCCCCTTTACCTTCTTGATAAAGTACAGCCTCCTCAACTTGGCTTTTAGGGCCTAAAGGATCTGTCTCTTACTTTCCTTTCCAGCTTGATATTTCATTCTTGTACCTCCAGTCCTTGGTAACTGCTGTTCCCTCCCACTTGGAATAATATTCTTACCCTCATTCAGGCTGACACTGCTAATCCTTCAGGTGGTGGCTTAGATAATGCTTCTTCCAGAAAGCCTTCTCCAACCTTCCAAAGTAAAGTTGCAAGCATAGCATCTTGGACTTCCACTTGCATTTAACTTATTGCACCTTATTATAACTGCCTGTTTATTTTATATGCATACCCTTTCCATCTCCTCCTGTCTCAATCGATTGTAGCTCCACAAGCGCTGACACTGTGTCTGTTGTGTTCAGTATATCACCAGCTCTAACACATTAACTGGTAAATAGCAGATGCACCACAAACGTGTTGAAATAAGTAATAATCAGTATTCTGGATATGGTAATTTGAAATAGTTTTAAAGTTCATGGATGGGTTTTGTATTTTCTACCTTTCACACACCCCAGACTTTCATCCTGTTCATTTATCCATTTATCTAGTATTCATAAAATGCTTTCTTGAAGGAAGCAAATGGTTACTTAGACCAGGGGAGAGAGTACAGCAGCCAGAATTTAGGAAAAGGCTTGTGGGGGATAGAGGGTGATGAATGGATTATAAACAAAGACAAATAAGTTTAGACAAAGAATCAACAGTCCTTGGTGATGGATTAGATTAATAGAGTGAGGAAAGGAAACTCTCTCTCTCTTTCTGACCCCCTTCTTTCTTTTCTATAGCTCCTGGCAAGGATGAGGCAAGGATTTCACAGAAGAGCTGGCATCAAAAAACCTCCGTGCCATAGCTGTGGGCTATCAAGTCTTGAAGGATCTGCAGGAAGGAGAGAAAGGTGAGTTCTCCCCAGAGAACAGGAGGCATTTATGGGTAAGAAGCATTACTGTCATGTGCCTGGTTTGAAGGGAGAGTAGCACCAAACAACCCATTATTTAGTGGTCATTTTTGTTTCCAGTACTTGAACTTGTTAAGCATGTAGTCTTCTGCCACTAAGTCATCTAGGATCCATAGGTCACTTTAAATCTTCCCTCTTGAACATTACTTCTGTTGTCAAAGATATTCCCAATTTGAAATACAAGTTTATTTTAAGATGTACATTTCAATCATTTTTTTTTTTCAAGATAATTTATTTTATATATATATGTGGGGTACAAAGTTGACTTTCATTAGTTGTGTACAATTTGTGATGGTCAGATCAGGATTAGTTAGCTTATTCATCATTACAGTACATAATCCTTCTTTGTGTCTGTTAACCAATTTCTCATTAACTCTCCTCCCTGTCCCCTGCCTCTCCCCTCTCCTTTTCCACTTCTAGTAACCACAGTTCTTTTCTCTCCTTCTAAAAGTTGAGCATATTACTGTGATTGTTGTTTCTTTCTTTCTTTCTTTCTCTCTGTCTTTACTGTTTATTTGTTTATTTATGGATTCAGTTCCCACTTATGAGTGAGAATATGCAGTATTTCTCTTTCTGCACCTGGGTAGTTTCACTTAGCATAATCCAGTCTCATCTATGTTGCTGCAAATGGCAGAATTTCATTCTTTTTTATGGCTGAGTAGTATTCCATTGTGTATATGTACCACAT